CATTCGACGTAGGCAACTTTCTAAACCGAAAGAATTCAGAGGTTTTGGCAGAATTTTTCATCTGGGTTCTGCGGACATAAAGGACATGAAGATGATAGATAAGATCGATACGTTTGATCAAAATTTAAAGATGAAAATTTGATTGCAGATCGAGTGGTCAACATTGTGTATTAAAATGGCCATGCCACGTTTAGAAATGTCCTCCATTCAGTCAGAATCGATTAGTAATACAATTTGCGTTACGTGGTTTGTTAATATGCGTGCTTGCAAATCTTATCAGCAAAACCTCGACACCAGGCGTTGTGGTCTCCATAGTTCGCGAAGCGCGAGCCCAGTGGCTAAATTAAGCCTTGGTTCACCAGTGGACGAAAATGATCAGGCCTCTGAAATAATTTCCTTTAAAAACCTTAATCGATTTTTAATACAAGTTACGTGACGTCATTTTGGCATGTGCACTTGAAAATCTAAGAAACAAACCCCCATTCCAGGCGTTGCAGTTGCAGTAGGCCGCTCGGCATTGGCCCAGCACCTAATACTGAGTTAATACTGTTGTCAAGGATGGACGAAAATGATGACGATTCTGAAAAAGTGCCTTTGCACGCTTCATGACGTCAAAGTTTACATTAAGAAGGCAGTCCGCGCACGTATCTCAGTTGTGCAATTTTTAGACTGGTGATAAGAACGGATTGGCCCTTAAAGTACCGCGAGGCGGGGCTGGAATCTGGTGGTTGAACTGGAAGAGTAAAGATAGAATCTCTACCTTCCGTGTTTCTGTAACTACTAATCTGTCGAAGAAGACAGATTTATATAGTGCCCGCCGTATAGTGACACTTGCAGTGGACGAAGTCGTTCGGTTTTACGGAAGCTGCATCCCAGGCCATCGATGTCCCTGTTCTCGAGGTTGCGGACGGGCATGTTTAAACCTTTTGATGCAATTTGCTTCACCAATCCATTCTGACGAAATGAGCGTTCTCAGGCAAACATGGGATGGCCTTGTTCATTTTTAAGCTCATTTCGACCCACTTTATTCCAACAATAATGAGGCCCCCCTGTACTAAACAATAGCGAGACCCCTTATTTCATTCCGGGCATGGGCCCCCTTGAGTAGAACGCCAGGGGAACAGTGCCGTTTCCGGCCAAGGGCTAAACGGTCATTCCGTCCCATCGCGAAGTATCTTCTGGCCGTCATTTTGGCGAAAGGGGGCTTGATCTCCTGGACGATCCGAAGGCCATAAGAAGGACATACCATATGACATTGTTCCCCTCCCTGACACGGGAGGCGTTCTGACCCGCCAGTTGGCCCCGGATCAGCACAGGAACTGTGACTGAGGCAACAGCATCCCTAATCGCAGCAAGTGTTCCGATAATTGTCACATAGACTCCAGTTCTATGTTTCTGCTGTGCTCTTCAGAAATACTTCGAGCCCCTGAACGTAGATTGTAGACGAGAGGAGGTCCAAATTTGTTTCAATATGGCCAATCCATGTTCATCTTAAAATGGTTAAGATTCAGTCAGAATTGATTACCAATAAAACAACAGTGTAATATGGTTTTGAACATACCCTCTCGCAAGTCGTAGCAACAGCATCCCGGACGTCCGGCGTTGCAGTATTCATGGGCTGCGCGGCGTTGGCCCTGCGGTTGTGACACTAAGCGATGGCCAATGATCAAACGAAAAAGATGACACATCTTGAGGAAGATGGCCGTTGAATTATTGTAAATTGCCATGTATGTTTAATGCAATACAAAAGTAAGCCAAAACAACATTAATCTGAAAAGTGGGGGAGGGGCCAGTTAACACTTCTGCCCCCTACATTAAAAAGTCGGGGGCAATGGCCCCTCTGCCCCCCCCCCCGCCCCCTGTTCCTACGCTCATGATATACGCCATTGTCCTCCAGATTAAACCACGAGCACGAATCCTTATGTTTAGTGTCGACACAAAGCATAGTCCCTAGGTATAATATTGCAAAAATGAAGAAGTGCTATTTCTGGAAATTCTGACATCTGCCGTGGCACAATGGGTCAACCATTGACTTAGCAACGTAAAAGCCAGTACCAAACGCGAGATTTCGTTGAGACCATTCCATTATTTTTTGTTGCTGTTTTTTTACCAACCTCTAAATTTATTAGGTCGGAAACGTGGGCGGGGCGTCGCATCGCCCATCACCAACAGTCTACGCCATGAAAAACGGTGAAGCAGATCGAGGGTCAAGGGATGATGAGATCGGATCGGATCGCATCGGATTTTCTGGCTCCTGGAGTGCGTGTGCTGGGAAGGCAGCAGGTCCGGCCAGGGCGCCTTGCATCAGTGTTATGAGCTGAGTATATACAGGTATTTATGTACGTGGGTACGCGGACGTGGGCCGAGCA